GGACGACTCTGCTCTGTGGAGCGAGTTGGTGACGTAACAATGCAAACAACATACAGAATCATTTCGTTATAACCGGTTCCCGCTACATGTAAGGTGATGTGCAGAAACACCTGTCTCAATGTTTCCATTACGCAATTGCTCGACAGGCAGGGTCTGTCAGTTAGTTCTTCCTACGCCGTTTCCATGACAACGAAATACTTAAGTTATCCAACACAACAGTTGCTGTGCTTCGGCCAGCATAAAAGAAAACGAATCGAAGAAGGCTTGCAAAAGGTACACACTTGATTTCTTCTACAGGCACTAGGCTACAAGCCGGAAGGTGGCGGGTTCGATTCTCAATGAGGTCTTTGGATTTTTCAGTTGACCTAATCCTTCCAGCCGCACTATGACCCTGGGGTCGACTGAGCGTCTAACAGAAATGAGTACGAGGAATATCTCCGGGGATAAAGGGCGGCCGCAGCGAGTAATGGCTGACATGCTCACCGCCATGTGAGCATTACGTGTCACAACCCAATGGGCCTTCACTGGTTCTACAGGGAGCACGACGTCCTGAAAGAGGGACGTGCAGGACGTGCGATTAGGCTTGCTATTTTGGAAAGGACTGGTTAACTTGTGCTGAACTTGATCAGTGTTGGTGCACACCTGCTAGATACGCGCACGGTCTCTCCCTCGAGTTGCGCGGATTCATTTAGTATAGGTTCCGCGCAGTCCCTGGCCTGTGTTCACGGATGTTCCATATGGTGCTTGAATCACATTTTAACGTCTTAAAAGTATAGTGGTAACTATGTACCACCCGCTTCAACACTTATACCCCTACGCTTTGTTCTCACGGTATACACACGTGTTTCTCACGATTGGCACAGTATTTCCTTGAACAGTATTAACCGACAGATCTTTTGTTCTGGAGACCCACTCTTCTCTGTAAGGTAAGAGCTGAGTTTTTTAAATGCTAGTTATTTTGATGAAGTTAAGACGGCTGGTATGAAGTCCCAGTTTATGTGTGTCTGCAGTGGAACTTCCCTGGAGTCGTTATGTCCGAACGTGTATCTCACCTATTTAACACTGTGACACCACGCCTGAAAGCCGGAGTAGTTCATTGCTAGGCAACGGCTCGGTAAAGAGGTTCCCACCGAAATGAACACGCACGCAACAAGAGAAGAACTGCCGTTTTGAGTCGTGGCTGCAAACTGGGCGATACAAGGAGGAAAACTGAAGCAGCGACGGACAGTATGTCGAGACTCAGGCTGTGCTGTAGTTACAGTGAGACAGTGTTGAACTCCGTTACCAGGAAACGACTAAGAACACTAAGTCTGTGTGCCATTTAGTAACAAACTGTATAAGTGGTCAGTAAATCGAGTCCCCAATCCAAACCCCGTCTGTAGTCACTCCAATTCAATCGTTCATTCATTAGTGGCGTTACAGCCCTTTGCTGGGCCCTGTCCTCTTCTTCAGTTTCGTAATCTCTTTTTTTTACACAAACGGTAGGACTCCTTTGATGGGGGATCAGTCCATCGGAAGGCCGCTACCTATGCACAAGACAGCACAAGCAGAATAAACGCACGCACAGATATCCATGCCTTGAGTGGGATTCGAACCCACGATCCCAGCGCGGCCACTGTGATCGGCAGTCACTTGTATACGTGACAGTAATTTTAATTTATGCATACTGTTCAGCAGTAAGAAGGACCAGAGCTGTAAACGGTAAGCATGAGAGCCGCTGTGTTGTCTAGCAGCAAGGAATATAAGCAACGTGGCCGGCCGGCAGATTGCTCTCCGGTGTCGCCTGGTGTTTACACTGACCTGCGCAGTCGGCTGTGTGCAGTTCTGCTAGTTTCCGGACGCACTAGGGAACCCCCCCCCCCCCCAGCAAGCCAGACAGAACTTTCTCCTCATTGGAGTTTAATGACGTCACGGAGGGCCGTGGTGTCTGACGTCATCTACCGCAATTAAGTCTGACGGCGCTGACAACATTAGAAGTGTTATTTTTGAAAACTTAACCGAGCATGTAATCATTGGTTTTCGTCATTTAAGAAAAAAAGGAAAGGTCTAACAAGGCAAGGTTTGCGTTTCTCAGCTTTTAGGCTGGGGCCACACGAGCGCACAAAATATGTCCGTTGTAACGAACGTCGTGACGTCCGTTGTAAAAATAAGCAAGAGGCGAATGCTACGCTTTCTTCTGGCTCCATTGCAGACAAAAAACTACGCACCGCATTCTGCAACTGTGTGGTGTCCTCAGCGACGTCTGTCATTAAGTACGTTCCTTGCAACGGATGCATTTTATGCGCTCGTGTGGCCAGCCTTAAGAGTTTAGAAGTTTACGTTTAGAAGCAGTATCGACGACGCAACCGTAGAAGGTCTCAGTTATTACTGTTGCATACATCCTGCTAAAAGAGTGCGCTAGTAGCTGCAACCTGTGACGTCATAGACGCACCAATCGGCAGAGCAGGTGTGCTGGCGGGGAAGGTGACACTGCCAGTGGACCCCGAGTGAGTGTCTGTATGTCAAAATGTAGCGAAATGTTCCTCTCAAGAAAGCAGTGTGGCGCCACCTCCCAGAAGACGTCTCTCTTCATAGTCACCGCCGTGAAAACCTCAAATCTTGCATACTGTTCCCCTGAACTGTTGTGACTGTAACGTGAACATAGCTACTCGATTACTCATTCGCGGCATAGAGCTGAGCCCTTCTTGAGAAGCCAAACAGGAGCACAGAGTTTTATGGAATCCGATGCTTCATTACATTGTTCAGAGGAGTCTGCCACAGGCCACTATCATCAGCCAGATGAATCCAGTCAGTACCACCCCCACCTAGATCTGTAAGGTTCATTTTAATACTGTGGTACGCCTGCTGAAAACCAGAATTAAGAAACCAGCAGAGGCAACCGTTGCTTGGGAGCGGCTCGGCTAATAGGGCCGTTGCTAGGCAAAGGCTCAGTAGCCGGTACGTGATCTCCGCAACAGACACGCTCGCAACAATAAAAGAACTGTTTGAGGCGATGTTTTCTGTGCCGTTCTTGCCGAGGCAGAATGACTGCGCTGGCGAGGACCAGCAGTAGCTGTAAACGACAGATCCATCCTCTCGTCAGAGAGGGTGCCCCACATCGAGAGACCTGAAACTGTCTGATAGTAACAAAAATTTTATCTTGGCTTCAGATGGGGCTTGACACCAAAAACAAACCAAACTAAACTATACGACTGACCCTCTGTCGTAACATAACCTGAGTGAGGTTGGGGTGAGGTGGCCGCCAGCCTGCGAGGACGTTAGCCCGAGAAGAGAGGAACGTCCGCTGGTGGAAGAAGTTATCGAGCTGCGCAGTGCAGACCGTGGCTGGCAGTAACCATGCGTTTATTATTATATCGATTTTTATGCAGAAACCTCTGCAACTTTTTCTGTAAACCTATCACAGAAAATGGTTCACTGTTTATTATTGTGGCCACTCATGATTATTTAAAAATGCGCAAATAAAATGTTATGAAAATACGGAATAACTTATGATTTCCCGATAAATGCAATTTCCCGGTTTCGAATTCAAAACAATATCTGTTGGCAATTTGGAAACACTGCCCCCACTAATTGTAACTTATACTTTGCCCTTTCTCTTGCAAGTCTTGTCGGCGAGGCTGTTCTGTATAAGCTCGTTACATTCGATGTGCCCAATCTCACGTACGTGTTCCTTTGCTTAAGGAAGTATAGGAGATGCTTAAAAATCGTACAAAATGGATGAAAATTGCACAGACCGTTCGTTGTTTTATTCCGAAATCTGTAAAAAATATTTTTACTCATTCCCAACCCGTTCAAAGTTATCGCACTTTCAATTTTTATTAAATTTACGCGTGATCTTATGGATGTTAGTCACCTCGTACATTATAGCAGATGAAAAGCATGGGAAAAAAAGGTGGTACCACGAGTTTAAAAAGTGTTTACACTTGTAATTTCAGCCCTAAGAAATACTGTTGCGTAATTACATTTACATTCACTGCACAGTTCAGGAGAAATTGATAATAACATTGAAACTTTGACTTTTACTCGATTTGCAAGATTGTAGAAATGTGGCAACATTGGAAACAGTTACAAAGTAAGGTAGCAGAAACTATAGCGAGTTTTCTGTTGAGCGGGTCTTTTCTCATACGCTCTTTTAGTCACTATTCTTCCTTACCAACGATAAGTTGCTTTCGGCATCACTGTAACAAAGAGAACTGTAGGTACGGTTGACTTATAACTGTACAACGCGCCAACTAAAGCTGTGCTCATGTGGGACCACTGAACTGCGCAAGGCAGCCAGCGAATGGAAAACTACAGTGTTGTCAAGTTTAATTCTTCGCAAAGAATATTTCAATAATCGAAATAAATAAAATTAAATCAATATTTTTCATAAGTATTATAAACAAAGATCATTTCATTTATATTAAAACGTGATTTTAGTACTATTTATAATAATCATTTATTAAAAATTAATCAAATTTTGTTTTGTCAGATAAGCGATTCAAAGAGCAGTCACTCAGAAGTTTTATAATGAGTGACATAAATGATAAATGTAGCCAAAAAGGCGGTGAAAATGTAAAATTGTCCCTATGCTTAACTAAGCACTACTCCATGAAGGCGTATGGGATGTGGATGGAAAGATCCATATTTTCTTGACTTCGGTACTAGCTGTAGGTGAGTGGTCAGCTTCACGCCCCGGCCGCTTTACCCACGGGGAGAGAGCCCCTCCCGTACCCATTGGATATGAGGTTGGGTGACCCCAGAGCCGGTCTGGACCACGCGGAGAAGAGAAAATGAAAGTGGTAAAATAAAAATACTCCTACATAAAAATTGATGACTCTTACCATCATGTCACATCTTCTGTACATCCTTAAGTTATGATGTGAACATGCTCCTGAGACCATGTTGCCAGTCGGTGCTGTTACACGGTGTGCGTGCGTGCGACGGACGGTAGGGTCAATCAGATTGCAGCTGCAACAAGCCGGTTCTAAGGAAATAACGCAGATCTTATGTCGTTCCAGGATCATCGAAGAAACGAGATGTCGGTCGGTCATCAAGTCCACTGAGCGACGGCTCGGCGTCTCACGCCATGACACGTACTTCGAGACCGCCATTACGTAAGTACATCTTCCTGTGCTCTGTGACTTAATTGGCAGCTGCTGGTTCGAATACTTGTCGTAGCGTTCTTAAATAATCATTCACACTCAGAGTCTGTTCAGTCGAATATCTGATTTATTTTTGTTTTTTTGTCGACTCTTGAAGTGTTTGCTATACAGAGTGTCCCAGGAGGAAAGGTCAGTATTCTGGGAGGTCATAGTATCGGTCCTCACGCTAAGCAAAAAGTGTATACAGGGTGTCCCAGGAGGAATGTGCCAAACTTCGGGAGGGTGTTCCTTATGTTAAAGTATGCCGATATAACCCAAAACACCTATGTCCAAAGTTGAACGGTTATGGAGATAATGGCCAGAGAAGTGTCAAACTTTGACCGGTGTTACACACTTGTTGATTACAAAATACATATTAAAACTGGCAGGAATATGTGGATTCTGTAATGTTAATAATGTACGTAACATCAAACTAACTTGTGAGTGACGGAAAGCCATAAAATTGAAGTACGAAATACTCGCTCGCCATGTCATAATTGTCCTTAGGTTTCCAAGCACTATACATGACACATGACTGGCGAGCGATGACGTAATATGGCTGCGCTATAACCCGACCACATAACTGTAAACGTACATTCACAGGAAATCTCTTTTGGAATTTCGTTTCCATTATCTCATGTGGATTATTATGGAACCACGTATGCACATTTCGTAAATTATTTACACCATCCAGGGTAAAAGACGCCTCATCACTGAATAAAATGACGCTTAACAGTTCGGGATGAACTTTTTATCCAGTGGCACAAATCCATACGCTGTGCATGGTCGCCTGGTTCCAGATGTTGTACCATTTGATCATGGTAAGAATAACTCTTCATGATGTAAAGTTTGCCACACCTGAATACATGATACGCCGATGCGAGAGGCGATTCTACGAGTGATAGACGCGGACTTCACTGAACAATATCAAGAATGTGCTCTCGTGTGTCTATCATTCGTACATCCTGCCTTTCAGAGTGCACAGAAACACTTGCAAGAGAACCAGTATCACGCAATGTCTGGTGAATTCGCGTAAATACACTTCGAGATGGAATCCTTCGATCGGGAAAACGCCTTTGGTATTCTTCAACAGCAGCACGTGCATTGCGACCGCAAAATCCACACACAAAATGCATATCACAATATTCCACGTGTGAAAACACAAGAGGCATTTCAGCAACTCATCACACAACTAATTTACCACCCATTCACGACCCCGCCGCAACGTAATATGTAGGCTCTGGTAGGTTGCGCATGAGATCACGGCTAGTGTGACATCACCACACTCAAGTACAAACAGATAACAGTCACAGCTGACTGTCCACAGTGCGTGGACCTGCAAGAAGACCACACTTTTCTCGGGCCATTATCTCCGTAACCGTTCAACTTTGGACATAGGTGTTTTGGGTTATATCGGCATACTTTAACATAAGGAACACCCTCCCGAAGTTTGGCACATTCCTCCTGGGACACCCTTTGTATATACATGCGTCCTCTTCCGAACGGTTTCCGAGATAGAGCTGTTTCACTGCACAGTACACAGTACACTGTTCAGACGAGGTGCACCGAGATAGAGCTATTTCACTGTACAGTGTACTGTGCAGTGAAATCGCTCTATCTCGGAAACCGTTCGGAATATGACACATGTGCATGCCTAAAGCGAGGCCACCTAAATCGTGTCATTTAAAGCAGATTGTAGCTGAATTTGGAGATTATATATTTTCAACTGACGGTAACATTTTATACTGTAAGTTGTGTGACGCAAAATTAGCGGCAGAAAAAAGATTCACGGTACAACAACATATCGGCCGCAACAAGCATATACGAGCACTGCAAATTTCGAACAAATAGAAATCTGTGCAAGTATTACTGCAAGTATTACACACAACAGTGTTCATTGGAGGGCGGAAGTAAGTCTCAGATCTGTGTGATGCTGTAGTGTCCGAAAATATTCCGCTTTGTGCTCCGAACAATGAAAAACTGAAAAATTTTCTGGAAGTGAAGTGTGGTCTTTCTATCCCAAACGAATCCACTATCTTTCCAAGTGCTACAGCAATATGCTGGAAATCATTAGGAATAGAGTGCCTGGGAAGAAGATTTTCGTTTCTGTTCATGAGACCTGCGATACGGAGGCAAACGTCTTCATTGGAACCTTGGAAATTGATGGACCAGGTGAAGTGTTTCTCCTTACGAGTGAGGTGCTAGAGTCCGTTAATCCTTCCACAGTTTGTGAACTCTTGGACAGGTCGACGTTTCTACTGTGGCCAGAGGGTATACGGCACTTCGTTGGTTTGCTTCTTGTGACCGATACGACCCCATATATTTTAAAAGGAGGCAAAGTCAATAAAGTCGTTTTATACGAAACTGGTGCACGTTACTTGCGTAGCTCATGCACTGCATAGAGTGACTGAGGAAGTGAGATCAAGATTTCCTCAAGTGGATGCTCTCGTGTCGTGGACGAAGAAGATTTTTGTCATGGTTCCAGCTCATAAAATACAATTTGAATCTATGGCTCCTGGTGTTCCACAGCCCCCGGACCCCGTCATCACAAGGTGGGGACCGTGGATCGATGCTACAATTTACTATTGCGATCATTTTCAGGCAGTGAAAAACATTGTATATTAAATGAAGATAGAAGATGCGAGGGCAATTGAAGCTGCTCAGGAACAGTTCTCGTGCAGCGAAATTGAAGGACAGCTGACCTTCATAAAGGCAGATTTCAGTTTCGTGACGGAAGGAATCAAATGCTTACAAGAGAAAGGAGCAGCGCTAGAAGATTCGCCCGCTCTCGTGAAGAAAATAGCCAGTGATTTGGAGAAAGTGTCAGGGGACATTGGCAAAAATGGTTGTCAAGAAAAATGAAACATGTTCTAGATAAGAGCTCAGGTTATGAAACATTATGCAGCATTTCTCGAATTCTGTCAGGAGAGTCCTTCAGCACTTTAAGTATTGAAGAGGAACGTACTGCTAGTGATTTGGTACACTTCAAGTACGCTCCCACTGTGTCTGCAGATGTGGAAAGGAGTTTCTCCAAGTACAAGAATGTGCTGTCGGACAGTAGGCGCTCTCTCACCATCGAGAATCTCCGCATGTTGACTGTCATCTATTGCAGCTCTGAATGAGGTGGCACTTAAATATTGGAATATATACCGTATACGTATATGCGCGCACCTGTATATATATGATAAGCGTTCCAACATGGTAGCAAATAATCGTATTAAAGCATTTAGCTTAAAATTCAAACATATACTCGTATTGAAGAATACGTTCCTCCGAAACGTCGGTTAACACCACATATACACGGTGCCAAATCCCAGAAGACTGCTTTCTTCATAGTCACCGCCGTGAAAGCCCCAAATCTTACATATACTCGTATTGCTTAATTTTCAACATAAGAACGAGGACGAACTTAGAAGAGTAACGATGATTTCTCAGTGTTAATGCAGATTAAAAATGCATTTTAAAACAATTAATAGATTTTCCATGACATGATAAAATTATGATGTTTTTTAACTTTAAGGAAATTTTCTGGATTTTTCGGCCATTTTATAGGTCATTTTAAAAATATTTTTAGGTCATGAAAATCCGTGCCCTGATCATCAGTAAATCGATTTGCAAGATTCGAAGTTCTCACAGCAGTGGTCTTCACCATGTACTTTCGGAGAAACGTATTGCCTCCGTCTTCAGGGTAGAAAAATAAGCCCATCTAGAAACCAGCGGAAAGCAAATTTCTTGCCCGGCTTGTACTTCGATCCTGAAGATGGAGGCGACTTGTCAGTCTTACAGGAGCAAAGTCCTCTGTAAGTACGTTTTAAGTTTCGCATCTGCAAGTGGGCACCGGAAATAGTTTGAAAATGAAATCTACTAACATTTCAATGAAAACGATTACGTCACTGATGACGCATCCACAGTTCCGCTGCATATAACGAAGCTGGTGCTGTCATCTCCCGGCACCGCCGTGGAGGCTATCTCAGTTTTGCAGCTGTTGTGGTCTGTGGCGCCATCGTCGAAGGTTGTTGGGCGGTGAAAATCCGAAGCATAACGACAACTGGTGGAGTCGGAATCTGTATGCAGGAATAAACGACTTTAAGAGGGGTTACCAACGTAGAAGTAACTTAGTGAACGATGAGAATGATGGTCTGCTTGCAGATTCCCACGACATTTTGAATAGGTGGAGGAACTACTTCTCTCAGTTATTGAAAGTACATAGGGTCAGCGATGTTAGACAGAAATACATACAGCTGAGCCATTAGTACCTGATCATCTAACCCTTTTGAGGTTGAAAGTGCTATTACAAAGTCGAAAAGGTATAAATCATGAAAGTTCCTTCAGCAGTTTCTGTGTTGTTGCACGCGGCCTGACAAGTGAACAGTTGTTTCTCAGTAAATAACCACACTTCATGCGACTTTCCGCTTCGAAGCCAGAAATTACTCGCTTTGTGTTCGATTGAATACTCAGCACTTGGAGAAAGGGACAATTTCCTCTGGGATGTGGAGACGGCTTTTCTTTTAGAAGTCTACCGACGTCCTGTTGCTGCTTGCTCTTCGATCCTGAGGATGGAAGTAGTACGTACTCCGACACTTTAATGAACATCTACCAAACTACACTGTGTCACCTACCAGAAGACTGCAGGCCAATTCTCCTGAGAACATCAGATCTCACGTTAATTAGCTTATCGCGTGTGGCAGCTTTAATTGAGCTGCACGTAAGGATTTTCCCACGCTGGAGGGATATAGCTATCCGTGGAGGCCCATAGGGTTGTCCCACATTTTCTGGACAATCGGCTCACAGATGGCGATCAGTTTGTCGGCCTTACGCGCTGTCCTTTACCTCAAGGAAGATTCCTGGTACTCATGTATGTTAGAGACTGAGTCGACCCCGTGGCTATAGTGCAGCTAGAAGGATTAGGTCAATTTGAAAAATTCAATGACTCATCGGGAATCGAACTCGCGACCTTCCAGCTTGCTGCATAG